GAGAGAGAGAGAGAGAGAGAGAGAGAGAGAGAGAGAGAGAGAGAGAGAGAGAGAGAAAGTTGCATTACATATATATTTTTTTTGTTTAGGACCATTTACTTTCCGGCCGGGCTTCTCATCGTTTCTCTGGGTCTAGTTTCTTATGCTTTCCTGCAAACGCGTAGAAATTATTATCTCGTTCACAGCTTGTGGCACGTATGTGTGGCTATTGGAGTTATTTTACTTCTGCCGAAGCGACAGTACATGAAGTAATGCCTGAGAGGCTATATTTGCATCAGGAAGTAATTCAGAAAAATCGAACTGTCAGTTGTAGCAAAACATGTAATGGCTATTCAGAAAAGCATCTGAAGATTTATTTTGATACAACTTAAGTAGATATAATAAGCTGTAAGACAGGTAATTGTTTACATTAGGGGAGCCACCTCTGATAAGCTTCTCTTTGACATTTAGTATCAAAAACCCAGATAGTCAAACTTGCGCGAACAGATTTTGCGCAGTCTGTCGACAGTGTCTGTAGACAGAATGACAACAGATTGCACACAGAATCTGTTTTGACGACAGATTGGTGACAGACTACGCGCAGAGCCTGCCGACAGACTGGCGCACAGATTCTGTTTCGTAGATAGGCTATTTGATTCTATCAAGGGCCATATGTACGCTATTAAATGGGGTAATTTCAGATGCACACCATGTAAAACTCTGAGAGGAGTTAAGATAATTATATAGTGCAATAATTGTACACATATATACAATAAAAAACAATTTTTACTTTTTAAAATTGTATTATATATTTTTTTATAAAAAAGCAACAATAATAGAAAAATAACGGCATTTCTGAGCGTTATCTAGGGAGAGGAGAATGTCGTGAGCGTGGAGTGTCAGGTAGCTCAGTGATTTAGAGCAGTCACTCGGCAAGCGAAAAACCCGGGTTCGAGTCCCGACTTAGCAAACCGCGCTCTCGATATTTTTCTCTCTCTAGAACGAAAAGATATAGAGATTTCGAATGCATGGCGTCCCGTCGCCATCTAATACGCCCTTCTCCTTCTATGGTATAGATATAGAATCGTACAACGGTTAAATGGCCATTTAAAGGCGTACATATGCCATTCTTGGTAAAAATTGTTTTCATAATTTTTCATACAATTTCTCATACTATTCCCAGACAGCATAATGTCCAAAATCGAGTCATAAGACATCCTTAAGACATCTTTAAGACATCTTTAAGACATTTTTAAGACAAGTTTATAAGGTATTGTCTTAAAGATGTCTTAAAGACGTCCTAAAGACACCTTATGACTCAATTTTGGATATTTGTGTCGTCTAGGTTATTTTTTTTTTAAATATCATTATGTTATTAAATCTGAATAATTTAACCGTCATGCAATAAGTACTGAAGGCAGCAGCACCGAAAAAAATATTAGTCCTGCCATGTAAATAACTTTTACAGACTTTTTGCAACGTTTTATTTCAAAATATATCCCATATAGCACCAAATGTCTGAAATACATCTCAGAAACGTTCCAGAGACAATGTGATATCTCTGGATGTCTCTGGGATGTATTTCGGACATTCGTACTGTATGGATATCATGCTTCGATTTTGATAAAATTTAATACAGTCTGGACGATCGACCAAATTATTTCGCACATGTAAAAGCACAGTATTTTATTAGCATGATAGAAAAATGTCATTATCTGCTGTTTTATTGCAGTGATTTTCTATACAGTCCTTGGTAAAAAATTAATTTCGAATTATCATGCCGGTCTCTCTTACATTATTTATACGCTAAACGATTTCGTCTATATTTTGCGGTTTAAAAAGCAAACAAATTCTAAGATTTTTCTTCCTTAAATTTTAAGTGGATAATATAAAGCTTTTTATCAAGTGAGGAATTGGCGTAGTGTCTAAGGCGACAGACGATTATCCAAAAGATGTCTTCGGTTCAAGTTTGGATCTCACCAGAGAAAATCTTCAAAATTATGAAAAAATAATATAGAAAAACTTTTTTTCATTGTATTTTACGAGAAAGCGTAAAAGCATTGTATTTGATGAGAAATCTATGTATATAATTATGAAAAATCGCTCATTCTATGTATATAATTATGAAAAATTATGAGAAAATTTTCTACCAAAGATTTAATTGAAGAACCTACGAAACGATAGGATCTGCGCGCAATCTGCCGTCATTTTGCTGTTATACATATATATATATATATATATATATATATATATATATATATATATATATATATATATATATATGTGCTACAAACTCTGCGTGCTTGGCAGGTTCTGCCAGTCTAACAGCCTACTGGCTCGATAGATGACTATGGGTCTGACAACAGAGTCTGCTCGAATCTGATGTCAGCCTGCGCTCAATTTGCTTACTGGGGATTTCTGAGTAACATTTCAAATGTTTTATGTATCGCTCACATTGTTTGTTAAAAAGTTATTAAAAAATTATTTTAAATGGAACGCAACTTTTGCACATAGTGTACATGGTAATATAGTAAATAGTACACGTATATGCGCGGAGGAGAGGCTCCGCTCCTCCCGCCTCCCAGTCTCTCTCCTAAAAACTAACTCTAACTTATCATAACATGTACAGTTTGTTAAAAAGTTATTAAAACATTTTCTTTTATAAATAGAATGTAATTTTTGCACACGGTATATATGGAAAATTGGTAAGCAATACACGTATATGCGCGGCCCTGGTGAAAATATTTTGCTGAAAAGGAGGGGTGTCAATAAGGCTGATTTTTGGTCCTCATCAGAATCATTTCAAACTGTGGTATTTGCTTCCTATCGATGTAGTTCACAACCTCCTAGAACCGTTTGCTGTCCGAGCAATTAGAGATTGCAAACGGACAACTGGAAATCTCAAAAATCAATGGGGTATTTACATGGTGGTGTCGGTCTCATTTCAGCATGTCATTGTGAGCTTCCACCACCATATTTTCTCAAAAACCATATACTAGAGTATATGCTGCTTTAAATACGAAAGGGAACTCATCTGATTTTCATGCATTCAATATAAAATCAAGCCTGGTATTTTGAATGGATTGCCATATTACTGAACAATGCAATAGCATCTTTTGCGATGAAACAGATGATACTACTCTAAGTCCAAACTTGATTTTGGGATTAGATCATCTTATCAGTGCAATATATACTTAAGAATTCTGCAATTTATTGCTCAGTGGACACAAACCATGTTTCGTCATTTGGACATTCTCAAAATGTCTGATGTGCGTCTCGAAGACGTTTCAAGGATGTTTCATGTTGCAAAGACTTCTTTATGATTTCTTATGTTTTTGGTATAACAGACGTCTATAAGTCATCTTGTGGATGGAAATAAGATATCTTGGGAATATTTCTAGGATTTCTCGTAAATGAATCTATCTCAATGTCCATAAAATATTTCGGGAACGTCCAGAGGATGTTTATATGTTTTCCTGTCCGCTATGTAATCATATAGCGATGGACTGTAACTCTATTATCATGAATATATATATTCTCGCATTTTAATTCTAACGCTGGAAATAGAACTCAGGTTACAACATCTAGGAATTGACAAAGAAGTCGACTTAGTGTGCGACAAGTTTGCAAAGACTGATGTCGAACATCAGGAGTCAGAAAAGAGATTGTGGCTGAGCATTTTTACATTCTAAGACGGAATATCTTCCAGCTCAACAGAGAGCTAATCCCTTCGAGCATTCAAGAGGCTCACGGCCCAAGGCCAGCGGTCTCAGAACCCGCAACTATGTGACGAGAACTGGAAAACATTCTCCTCCTGCAGCAGCGGGCATGCCAGTCAACGACCAGCAGCTATGCGAGGCTCGATACTTCTCCATTACACAAACCCGTCCTTTATTTTTTTATCGGCTGAATGTTAAGTTTAGGGGTTGAAATAGCCTCTTGAAAAAAGGGCTTTTTCATTTTTATTGAATATTTCCTAAAATACAAGGTATATGAAAAAATGTTTCCTACAAAAGTTGTACAGTATTTAACACTCTTTACAACGCTATACTTAATTTTTTCAAAAACATCAAATTTTTAACCTCCCCACCCAACTCGTTATCTTTGTAAAATTTGTAAGTTTTTTAACGACCAAAATTGTAGAACATTTCATGCCAAATCGATCTATATATAATATTAGAAAGTGGTCTCACTTAAATTGTTGGAAAACGTCGTGATAATATCGTGCTATACGCATCACGCAGTCCAAGTAAATGGATACTGTAGCTAGGTACGTTATTGTAAGTAGGGAAATGTAATGAATTGTAGAAAAATAATACATAGACAGTTGCATATATTTAATGTATAATGTTTACAATTTATAATGTTATTATAATATATTAAAATCATATAATTAATATAATATTAAGAAAAATCGATAGAGGATTTGCATGCACAGAAAATAAATATATTTTACTTATGACACATATTCGTAAAGGCGGTGTTCATGGAAAAAATGTGTGATGCAAAATGATTGTTTGCACCAAGAATAAGTAATTATAACAGTTTCGCTACAAACATTGCATTGTACTTTAGGATTTCTTTTAAACAAAAATCAACCGGTGTCTCGAACTCTAGCGGTCTAGTCTGTAAATATCCACTTTTAAACCATGCAAATTTAAATAAATTTGAAACCTGTGACGAGAATTGATGGTATGTTAATGACTGTAATTTCAAGATATTGTTCTTATTAGGAAAATCAATTGCAAGATCGAGTAACATAACATTATCAGAGAAATGTTTGATAAAATTTTTCCATAAGCGGCAGCCATATACATCTAGTGTAGATATACATCTTGTATTTTTCCCGTTGTACCAGCCGGAATTGTTAGAAAATAGATATCTGTTGCAGAATGTGGTCTATTTTCGGCAATTATGTTGGGACAATGTCCACTCCAAGAATTTAATAGTAATACGGATTATGGGCCGACGTTCGGAAAGAAAACTTCTCTCAACCAGGTTTTTATATGATTTGATGTTAATTTACCTGACTTCGAAGCTATTACATAAATGTTAGGAGCGTTAAATAATGATGGATCAAACGTTCCTGTGGATTCTTTTAATACGATCAAAAGAGGCGACAATACTCTACCATAAGCAGAAATAGTCGGCTGTATTGTGTAATTATGCGTGGTTGCTGATACAGACTATACTGCAGATTCTATCATTTTTGCATCTTTATTTGCTAAAGTACGACCGGCGTGAAGTTTTAACTGGAATCCACTCTGATTCGAATTATAAATATTTTCCACATTGATTAATAAAATATTTTGCATTTCTTGTAAATGTTTCGTACTTATTTTCTAAATCTGATTTTGATAACAAAGATTTTTTCAAAACAAATTTCGTTATTTTACGAGATACTATATTATGTTGTTTTTTGAATCTGTATCCACATATGGGGGATTTCATATGAAGTGATCAAGCTAAAAAAAATTTTTTCTCCAATTATGTTTAAACTCGGGGCATTTGTAGCCCTATTAGGTGGTAATATTTGGTAGAAAAATTTTTCCATTTGCTCCAATATTTGAGGAGGGGGAGGGGGTGAAAGTTTTGGGGGCCCGTTTCATTAAACAATTTTTTTCAGATAATTAAATGAATAAAAAAAATTTATGAATATCAGTTTCGATATGTTTTTTTATGCCCTTTCGATTGGTAAAATGCATTTAAAAAAAAAAAAATTTT